TCAAGATTCGTCAATTTAGTGTTGGTCGGGCGCGAAAAACCAGAATCGATATCATTTTGGGCGAGGGTTTCTTCTAGTTACCATTCGCGTGATCAGGTACTAGTGTAAAGTTACCAAACGCGTTAAGCGAGTTACCAAACGCGTTAAAACAACATGTAATTATTTCCGTACGCGTTATAGTGCCCCATATAAGTTACCATTGACATATTTTCCCATATGTCAATACCTCCAAAACGGAGGTACACATGATGCCCAACCCCTGCACGCGAAATGGTCCTTCACATTCCAGAAACCTTGCACGCTTGGGTTTTTTGCTGGGCAGTTGCACCCTCGTTACAAGCACGTCAACCATACGAACCACAGAAACTGAAGCGACCGAAGTCAAACAGTCAACGATGAGTTACAAAATTTTGTTATAAGCCCTTTTTGCCCGATGCGAATTGACGAAACCTCCACGACACGCAAGAATCGCTTATAAGCCCAGAGGGTAGGGCAAGGTCGGGGGACTCAACCGGACATCGTGTGTATCGACGGTTTGGCATACAATTGCATAGGGTTACCATACTCTTTTGCACGCCTATGTTGGCCCATATTGTCAGCCACGAGGCTGTTGGGATTGGGTGCGACAACCCGAGCTGGCAGGGAAAATCGTACGGCAGGTGGCAGAGTGGCCTGCTTTCTACTGGACTTCGCACGTCATCCACGCTCCCTTCGCACACTCGGACCACAGCGTCGTGCGTACCGTGGTCACAAGTGAGAACTGAAGCTGTTTTCCCGCCTTTTCGTTTACGCACTGTCCTGCGTTCCTACGTGGCGCTTCAGCACTTTCGGTTGACCGACCTTGTCACAACGACCTCTCTCCCACCCACGTTACGTGCTTTTGACGGTTTTCGGTGGTTTCCGGTTGTAGCGATCATGTGCGAGATCTTTCGCGATATCCACGAAAAATAATTTAGTCCAACCACCGTCGCGGATTTCGGATGGGTATTTGACCATCCATGGAATGGATTTGATCAGCCCAAGGCGAGCCCTAACTGCTGTTTTTTTGTGCATTTCTCTTCATCCAAGTGAATACCTGCACACTAAATCTTATCTCCGCTCTTCCGGCTAGAAAAGCAACTGGTAGCACGTCCCGCTTTCAACCATCGCCATGACTCGCCATGCTGCTCCGGTTCTCGCGGCGAGTGTACTCACCTTGGCATTTTTCGCGTCTTTCGTGCCGCTAATTGCGCCGGTTTCCGCGGCGAAGCAGAGCGACTTCCCCGCCTGCTGGTACTCGGGCCTGCTGCCCGTGCGACCGAATGTGACTGTAACGAGGTGCCTGGACGCTGCGGAATGGACGTGCTGCTCCGATTGCGAGGACCGTAAATACGCGGTAGTGGAGGCGTCCACGGATGGACGCGTTATACTGAACCAGGTGTCTCCGGGGCTCGGCGACAAGTTCACCAACGTCAACATGATGGTACGCGGTATAGATTGATGCCTGACAGTACAAAAACCATGGATCTTCGAAACCTTTTTGGCAGAGAAACGAGGAGTTATCGACTAATGTGATGAAGGGAGGCGAGCCGAACAAACTGTTACGGTGCGGATATGTTAATGGGCCCACCGTATCTTTCTGTGATCTATTATCGCCCTCCTCCCTGTCCCCCCTCTTCCTTCTCACTTCTCCGCGCTCTCCCTGCTCTCATCCCAAAATTGCAAAAGTTGGGTTTGGCCTAGCGGGCAAGGAAGAGGGGAGTCCCCGCTCCGCTCGCTTTTTCAATTATCCACTCTAATGGTCCTCTCCGCGTCGCTGCTCTATTCAGTCACCTCGCGTTAGCCCTCTGCCCTCCGCCATTACCCTCATCTCATCCTTCTCCCGTCCTTTCCGCATTCCGCGACGCGATTCTTTGCCAGTTTCCGCCACTCTGCCAGTGTTATCGCGAACGCGTGCGCCATTGGCTGCGGTTGGAGTCGCATGTTTATGCTCTTCTCACGACTTTCTCCCACCCTTCGCCGCTTTTTTTTCTTTCCCGCTTGCCCATCTTCCCCTCCTCTCCCCCTTACCACCATTCTGCTTCAATGGTTTGAATTACCAACGCTTTTACTCACCCGTTCAATTTCTGCCCTTGTCCCCCCTTCCCCCCGCCGGCCTCTCCCTCTCCGCCCTCCCCACTCTCCAACCCACCGCAGGTGTGCGCGCAGTTCAGCGAGTTCCAGCAGTGCCAGCTCCTCCTGGAGCAGGTCGTGTGCGCCACGGGGTGCAATCCCAGTGAGTGGGGTTACCACCTTGTAGCAGTTGGGGTTACCACCTCGTAGCAGTTGGGGTTACCACCGCGTACGTGATAAAAACTCGAGTCAGGCTGGTAGGAGTGAGGAGCAGGATGGGGGCGAGTGAGGAGCACTGAGAGCGAGTCCGTCTGCCGGAAGCGGGAAGCAGTGTGTGACGCGGCGGGCACCTTGTGTTTCACCCGATGTTGTTGAGACAATCCATTCTCCGCCACCCTGTGACCACCCCCCCGCCCCTCCCCTTCCCGCTCCACTTTCTCTCTCCATGTCCCCCTCCATATCTGCCACACGCAGCAGCTGGTCGACAGACGGGATTCGCGTTCCGCCTGTTGCAATCTCACACACGCCAACGGCCCTCCCTCACCCATTTCCCCACTCACTCTCTTCTCAGGCGCCGACAACGGGGCAGATTTTACTCTCGAAATCTTCGACTTCCCTTGCCTATGTGGTCGCCCCGCCCCAACCCCCCTCGCCTCCTTCCTCCCCCCGCCCGCCACAGATACCTGCAGCTGTTCACTTAAGCTGCTCCACGGGCGCGCGTCATGTTGCTCTCCGCTCACCCATCCCCCCACTTGCTCTGCCCGTGTGCTTATCCCACCCACCACCGCCCTCCGACCCATGCCCCCGCCACAGATTCGGGTAGCTACTTCAAGATAATCAACGGCACGCGCGTCATGCAGGTCTGCAACGCCTTCTCGCAGACCGTTTACGAAACCTGCAAGGGGCTCACACGTAAGTACACACTTATATTCGGGGTGGTTCTGTGTTTAGGCGCCTATAGAGCACCTTATGCAGGTCTGCGACGCCTTCTCGCAGACGGTCTAGAAACCTGCGAGGGGCTCACCTGTTAGTAGACCCGTTTGACTCGGGTGTTTCCTGTATTTAGGCACCTATAACGTGCACCACTCAACCCTTCTCCCAGGCCGTCTACCTAACCTGCAAGGGGCGCTCACGTGCGAGTAGACCCTTTGAATCATGCCAGGCATGATTTCGGTGAATTCGGTGTTCAGGCATCTCTGTCACACGCCATGCCAAACGTGCAACCTCCCAAGCCATTACCAAACCTACAAGTGGCTCGCGTGTTTAACCCCTACCCACACCAACCCACAATTTCTTCACTCCAACCCTCCCACCCTCCTCCCGTCCTCACCCCTCTTCCTCTCCATCTTCGCCTTTCCCCCTTCTCTCTCCCTCCTTCGTTTGCCACTCACCCCAACTGCAGTGCCAGAACTGGCCACCCTCCACAGGTTCTTCCCCACAGCAGAGCGCTTCATGGAGGACCTGTTGGGCAAAGTGGGCATGGCCTTTTGAGGCGCCTTGGTAGCCTCACTCCCCCCCCCCTTTCCACACTCCCCACTCGTGCCCCACTCACCCCAATACAGTGCCAGGAGTGGCGACGCTTGACAGGTTCTTCCCCACAGCAGAGCGCTTCATGGAGGGTCTGTTGGGCAAAGTGGGCACCGCGTGATGCGCCCTCTCTATCTTGACCTTCTCCCCTCATCCCTCCCTTCCCCCTCCCCGTTTCCCACTCGCAGTGCCAGGAGTGGCCACACTGGACAGGTTCTTCCCAACGGCCGAGCGGTTCATGGAGGACCTGTTCGGCAAGGTGGGCACGGCCTGAGGCGCCTCATTAGCACCTCCTCTTTCCACATTTCCCACTCGTTTCCTATTGCCCCAACACCCCAGTGCCTGGCGTCGCCACACTGGACAGGTTCTTCCCAACGGCCGAGCGCTTCATGGAAGACCTGTTCGGCAAGGTGGGCACGGCCTTTGGCGTCTACAACTTCACTGTCGCTGTCACGCCGAGCGACTCGGACCAAACCCAGTGCTACAACGGGCCCAAGAAGCTGCCCCCCATGCCCTTCTGCTGCGACCCGCTTCCCATCCCCGTTGAGAAGTGCCCCGCTAGGGTTATGAATTTCACTGAGTTTCCGAATATGAGGCAGTATATCAACAGGACGGTCACTGACAGGCAGTGCGATAAGTTTAAGTGCAGCAATAGTGGCGGCAATGGTGGTGCTGCTGCTGATGGTGGCACTAGCAGCAAGCTGAATGGGATCACATCGCCTGCTGACTGTATTCCTGCAGGCAACACTGGTGACAGCAGCAGCAGTGGTGGTACTGATTTGAGCAGCAGCGGCAGCAGCAGCGGGAGTTCCTCGTCTGGTTCGAGTGGTGGGAAGGTCTCCAACCGCCTGCATGTTACGGCTTATTTCGTTGCTGTGGCGGTGATGCTCGCAGTGCTGGCACTGCTGTGAGTGCAGGGCAGTTGATGGCCGACATTCCCTCACTTGTCTACACACCATGTACCATAACGGAGTCTGAAAGAAGGCCAAAGCATGCAGTTGTTCGCGGAATCACAGTGAGCGGCAGCAGCTTGAGACTCTGCTTCGTCTTGGAAGTGCTGTAATGTGGCTTGAAGCTCTTACCGTATTCGAATCCAGGGACCTTCATTGTGGCAATCCCTGTGATGACATTTCTTATTGCAATAATTCCATACAAATCTCACTCTGGACATCACAGTAAATTTCAAGAGGTGTTGCTTGGTGGACATCATTAATTAATTAAAAATCATTTGCACGCCCGGGGCCAAAAGCATACTACGGTACTGTCGTACCTTAACTGTTCCTACTGTTCAGTACCTATATCAATGCCAAGTCCCTGAGCTATCTACTCCCCAAAGGAATAAAGGTAAGGTAACCTTTCCTCGAAACCACCACACCTTGTTCTCAGCTGTTACCTTCCAACACATTCACACTCACATTCGGCAGAGCACGAATTACAGCAGCACCATTCTTGAACTTTGGGCACCCAGAGATGACAAGTGTTCTGAGCTTGGAGAGCTTTGTGATGGAAGCAGGCAAGCGTTCTAGGTTGGGCCAGGAATGCAGCTCCAGCCGCTCTAGCTGTGAAAGATTCTCGAGCTGCTGGGGAATTGTGCTGAGGGTGGGTAAGCCATACAAGACGAGAGAAGAGAGGCTGGATACCCGGCAGATGGAATACACGAGTCCCTCATCAAGAGTTGTGACTCCTGGACGATCTTTGTCGCATGTACAGTTAGCCGGCCAGTGGAACTCCAGAGATTGCAAGCCGGTACAGCGATGGAGGTGGAGAGTGAAGTCGGGACGGGTAAAGATGTTCCTGCAGTCTTGCAGAACGATAGCTCGGAGGCTGGACAGCATATGGATTGTGCTGGGAATAACCGAAAAGGCTTCTAACTGGCAGAGGTCTAGACGCTCAAGGGATGAGAGGTGACCGATGCTCTGTGGGAGGCGACCGATATTTTCACACTCCTTGATAGCCAGATAGCGGAGACTAGGAAGCTGGCCGAAGGAGCGCGGAAGGGAAGTAATCTTTGGGCATTTTTGTAAGAGAATCCGCTCCAGACGAACTAGGTCAGATACATGAGTAGGAAAATTGCGAAGGTTTTTGCAGTCCACGAGCTCAAGAACCTCCAGAGAAGAAACCGAAAAGAAGCTATCAGACAAGAACTTAAGGGACGGGTTGTGGTGCAAGTAACATTCTTTTAGGCTCTCACACTGGCTGATGCTCTCAGGAAGAGCTGTCATCATATCCGATCCGCAAATAGTAAGCCTGGTTAGCGACCGAGGTTCATCAAATTCTGGCATCCGGAGGAGGTTCTTGCAGTCGAAAATCCTCAGTTCTGTTAGTGTTGGAGGCCAGCCAAAGGCTTCCGGGAATTTGTAAAATTGCAGGTTTCTGAACTTGACGTTCTTCAAGAGGCTCATGTGATGGAGAGTATACTCCGGAAACTTCCAGGCGCGGATACTAAGATCAATCTCCGTGAGCGAAGATAGTATGGAGAAAGATGACGGCACAGTGATAATCTTGTCGCCGAGAATGTTGATGGAGAGCGACTGCAGCCCGGTACAGCTGGCGGACAACGCATTCAGGCCAGCAGTCGTTACAACGGAGTGCTTTTCTTGATTGTCGATCAGTAGATGAGTAAGCTTCGGACAAACGGACCCTAGTCCAGCGAGGAGAAAGTCGTCAAAGTCGGTTATTCTGGGTCCGAAAAGCGTCAGAGATGTTAAATCAGTGAACTTGGAAATGGATCGGAAAAGCTCAGCGGTTGTGATACGACGACCAGAATGGATGGAGACAGCCGTCTGCGTGAGACAAGCCAGGCGATGCCACTGCTTGCAGACCAATCCGTGGTTGAAACTACAGTCGTTCTTGTCCCGCAGGCGGAAGATTAGAAGGATCAGCTCGTCAGGTATGTGACCATACGATACGCGCGTCATGGTGCAGCAAGGCGAAGCTAGCGTTCTAAGAGAAAAGATAGAGCAATGCAAAGAGGGACAGTCCTCAGCGAAATGAAACAACGGAGTTAGGAGGTTCGAAGCTGGTGCGTTATGACGACCACCAAGGGTTTCGCAGCCTCTGCGCTATGCTCGAGTGGTTCGCTTCGCACACGAGGACTAGGGCCCTGTTCGGTAGCCTTCCAGTCACACTGGGCCCACTCGAACTGGGGAAGCCTACGATCTGAACGAAAGTCTCGTCCACAAACGCAAGAAGTTTCGGCGTGTTTCTGGAGAAATTGCTGTCCGAAATTTTCACTTCTGTACGAGGCTGCCCCACCCACAAACAAAAAATCAGCCCGTCGAATAGATAGCCCTCGATATGAATAAAAGAAATGTAGGAACGGGCACGATCTCTCATCGTTCGAACGAGCGAGCTGAAAAGAAAAATTTGACCCAATACGAAACTAGTGCAGCGTATACCCTCCAGACTGCCACTCTGAGCGGGCCTGCCTGGGTTAAACTGGAAAGCTGAAATGGGAGGGACTTTCACTGTCAGTCAAGTTTGCCTGGGCGCGACAGTTTCTTGGTAGTGTCCTAGCACGCAGTTGAAGTGGGGTTTTCACGCGTTCGTTAGCCAAGTCACACTGGGCAGGCTCGGTGTTCTAATAACGATTTGGTAGGCTTTGATCTCGGCCCTGTTCGGTAGCCTCCCAGTCGCACTGGGCCCAATCGAACTGGAGACGCGTCCGAGATGTTGAATAGCCTCGGGCTTCCACTCACACTGGAATGAAGTTTCCGTTCAGTTTGCGATAGTTTCCTTGAAATATGTGGTAAATTTCTTGATACGATTGTGGTTCTGTATCAGTCTGACCCCAAAACAAAACGTACTTGCCCGTCGCACGGCTACCCTGCTAAACAAAGAGGAAAATAAAAAGCATCACATGCTGTGCGCCAACTCATTTTGGTTCAAGAAGGTAAGAGCTTCTTTTTCGGCCCGAAATTGTCTAATATGAAGTTAACCCAAAACTGTGCTACTTAGAGTGGCCCTCTCGTAGTGTAACTCAAACCCTAAACTGGGAGTCGCTTCCACCGCGAGTCCAGTTTGCCCGGGAAGGAAAATTTCCGTGCAGTTTCGATGCCCGCAGTCAGACTTGGCTTTTGAAGCGTTCGGTAGCCAAGTCACACTGGGCAGGTTCGGTGTTACAATATCGAGTAAGTAGGCTTTAACGATGTCCTCGGAACCTGCCTTCCACCAACCGCAGTGCGTCTACCGAACAGGGCCCTCTTTCGAATTTGGGAAACAGAAGTTCCCCCGCACCAACCGCAGCATGACTGGGGGATCTACCGAACAGGACCTAGGACGTGAGACTCAGGACACGGTAAAAGTTAACTCCATTTCAAATCGAGACCTCCATTATCCCCCACGCCTCCCCTTCCGCATGACATCGCTTCCTTCCCACTCGCGATGATCGTCCTCACCTGCTACCTCTGTCGCCCACGTCCCCTCACAATCGCCTTCGCTTATCTCCCGCCCTTTCCCCTTATACCTCGCCGTCGTCCACCCCCCCCCCCCCCCCCGTCGCCGTTGTCTCCCCATCTGGTCGACCTCGCTTCCCTACTTCGCAGCCTTCTTCTCCTCCCACCCATCGCCCTCGTGTCACCTCCTCGTCCCTTGCACAGTCGACGTCGCTTCCCTTCCCTACCGCCCTTGCTCCCCCCTTCATCGCCCTCCGCGTCGACCTCGCTTCCCCTCCTATTCCCGGTCGTCATCGTCGGTTCCGTAATCGTCGCCCTCGCTTCCTCTTCCCGCGACCCCCCCTTTCCCCCCTTAGTCCGCCTCGACGCCATCACTTCTCCTCCCATCGCTCTCCGCGTCAGCGCCGCTTCCCTTCATAATTCCGGTCGTCCTTGTCGTTTCCCCTATTCGCCGCCCTCGCGACTCCACCCCGTCGCCCTCCGGTATCCTCTGATCGCATTTAGGTCGTCTTGAATCCATTCCCAATCGTCATCCTTGCCTCATTAGAAGTCATTCACCCCCCCGCACCCCCCCCCCCCCCCCCCCCCCCCCCCCCCCCTTCTCCCCCCCCGCCCCCCCTCCCCCCCTTGCCCCCCCGCCACCTTCTCTACCCCTCGCATCGTCAATGGTTACCGCCCGCACCCTTGCATCCTCCCTCCCATTCTTCCTCCTCCTTTCCCCCCTGCATCCCTCTCTGCATGCCTGCAAGTTTATAGTGAGCATTCAAAAGGAGCTGCATAACAAGTACCGCAGCTGCAGCCGCACATATGAGCACTACTAATAACGGCACATACTACAATCATCTGGATACTATCAACTCAAATCACACAAATTACTGTTAAATCTATTGCCATGACGCTGTCGGCCTGATTCATTCCATTGCTGCACATGACGCTACCCCTTCATGAACCACCGCAACAAGCTACAGGTTTATTTCGAAGAAGGGGCATGCAGCGACTCTAGTACGCATGTTGCACATAACACATGTGTCGCTGCGTCAAGCTACAGCACTATTTCAAAGAAGGGGCATGCATGGCAGTGTGCAAGAAGGGCCGTGACGCTATGGCTCCTGTGGAGCGTGAAGGAGGGCAAGGCAGGGCAGTCCACAGCATGCTGCCACGTCACCTCCTGCAGCCGCGCTGCCAGATGCTCCAATGTCACCTGCACAGAGTGTGGGCAGGGGTGAGTGAGGGCAGATTGGGCAGAGGTGAGGGCAGATTGGGCAGAGGTGAGGGCAGATTGGGCAGAGGTGAGGGCAGATTGGGCAGAGGTGGGCAGAGGGAGCAGGGGTCGCTGCTGGCAATGGCAGATGCTCCAGAATCACCTGCAAGGGAGGGTTGTGGGCAGGGCAGTGGGAGGCTGATTTTGAGGCGCCTCAAAAAGAGGGGTGTGAGCAGTGGGAGACACGAGAGGGCAGAGGAGGGGAAGTGAGTGTTGGAAACAGCATGCCGATAGTGTGCAGAAAGGAGGAAAGGTGCAGAGAGGAGGAAAGGTGCAGAGAGGAGGAAAGGTGCAGAAAGGAGGAAAGGTGCAGAGAGGAGGAAAGGTGCAGAAAGGTGCAAAGGCAAGGAAAGCTGAAACAGCAAAGAGAAGTGGTGGCATACATGGTCGTGATGGCATACATGGTCGTGGTGGCATACATGGTCGTGGTGGCATACATGGTCGTGGTGGCATACATGGTCGTGGTGGTACACATGGTCGTGGTGGCATACATGGTCGTGGTGGCATACATGGTCGTGGTGGCATACATGGTCGTGGTGGCATACATGGTCGTGGTGGCATACATGGTCGTGGTGGCATACATGGTCGTGGTGGCATACATGGTCGTGGTGGCATACATGGTCGTGGTGGCATACATGGTCGTGGTGGCATACATGGTCGTGGTGGCATACATGGTCGTGGTGGCATACATGGTCGTGGTGGCATACATGGTCGTGGTGGCATACATGGTCGTGGTGGCATACATGGTCGTGGTGGCATACATGGTCGTGGTGGCATACATGGTCGTGGTGGCATACATGGTCGTGGTGTGTGTGGAGGGAGAACTGGCCGCAGGAGCACTCAATGGTGGCACCGTGCATGCGGAGAGGGCTGGCCTTGCACAGCGGGCAGATTACCGTTGCCTCCTGCACGCCAGGTGGCAAGCAGAGATTGGCAAGCAGGGCGGCAATGCGCAGAGATGCATGCACAAATAGTGAGACGCGCAAACATAGTGAGATGCACGCAGATTCTAGAAAAGTAAAATTTGGAAAACATAGCACACGGCAGCAGAGAGACACTGTCATACTGGTTGTAGAGTGAGAGTACCTGCTGATAAGCGAGAGTACCTGCTGATAAGCGAGAGTACCTGCTGATAAGCGAGAGTACCTGCTGATAAGCGAGAGTACCTGCTGATAAGCGAGAGTGGCTGCTGATAAGCGAAAGTACCTGCTGATAAGCGAGAGTACCTGCTGATAAGCGAGAGTACCTGCTGATAAGCGAGAGTGGCTGCTGATAAGCGAGAGTGGCTGCTGATAAGGGCGTGTTACATTTTCTCACTTCCACGGTCCGTACCCTTGGCCGTCCGGACATTTGTATGGTAACCATTTTCGTCTCGCATCGCGAAACTTCTCGCGCGTCACCATGCGACGCCGCAGCTGTACGTACCACCAATAAAACATTTAACAATTTTCGGTGTACATAACCGTCCGAACGACTCCCGTCCGTCTGCCGGACAGAGCAACCAAACTGTCATTTGGTGGGCCTACGAGGATTTTAAAGGAAATACATTCCCCCAATAAAAAGTCGCGCGATGCGGATTTTCCCTGAGCGCACCTCAGTAACAAGTATCCAGTGTTACATTAAAACACTTTCCAATTTCGAGAAGGAAAAATGTTCCGGATTCTCCGCCCGGACTAACCTCCGTCCGGGCGCGAGGCCCGAACCGTCCGTACGCTTATTTAGGACGGTTTGCGGACCATCGTCAGGACAAAACGGCTAAAAAGAAAACGTAACACGCCCTAAGCGAGAGTACCTTCTGATAAGCGAGTGCTGCCATGATCTCTGCATCCTCCATTCCCTGCTGGTATGCCTCCTCCTCTTGATCATCCATGCTCCGATGGCCTGACGCTCACATGGGTGTGAGTGGCGGACAGATGGGTGAGAGTGGCAAAGAGATGGGTGAGAGCAGAGAGGAGGTAGGAAAGATAATAAGTGAGAATTAAGTAATTGCCACTCTCACATTTGCAGCCGAGGCACACCGTATCTCAGCACTTGAGCACATGCATGCAACACAATGCCCGTGCGACGCATTTTCACTCCATTGACGATCGCCATACACCTCACATAGCAGCTCCACGTGCGCATCCTCGTAAAGCGCTCTCTGCATGTCCAGCAGCACACCACGGGACCACTGCCTAGCAGCAGCACAGCACGCCACGGCGCAGCACATACCTGACGGATAGGGTGGCAGATGGTCGTCATCACCGTCATCCTCATACAGCGCTCTCTGCATGTCCAGCAGCAGCGCCTCGTACTCCTCTGCGCTCAGCTGCAACACGCCATCCGCATCTTCCCACCGCCCTGCTGCCTCCTCGTCGCTGTCCCACTCGCCTCGCCCCCTCGCCCCGTCGCCCCCATCGTGCATCCCGCTACACGAGGACCACTCATGCCCCCTCGCACCCAGTTCCTGCTCGCCCCTCTCTGCCGTCGACGTATGCCACTGCCTTTCCCGCCCCAGTGCCATGCCTTGGCCCGTCATGTCACCACCAGCACCACCAATGGGAACATCACACCCGCCCTCGCCATGCCCTCCCCCGCCCTGCAGCCGCTGCAGCTCCCCAAACAGCACTCTTCGCAGCTCTGGCCGCGCCCCTCGCCCCTCCGCGCCCATGCTGCGCGCCGAGTCTAACTGCTCCCCCCTCAACCCCCCGTTCCACCCAGCAGGATTGCTGCCATAGCCTGCCACCCCTGCCACCGCTCTCCCACACTCCGCCTCCCCCTCCCCCTCCCCGCGCCCCCCCATAGCCACGCCTTCCATCTGCTCGTCCCCCCGTACGCCCCCATCGAGCTCAGCCCCCCCTTCGCGCTCACCGGCCTCTCTGCGCACTCGCGCGCCCCCCTGCCAGCACGACTCCGCTCGAGCCGTTCCCCCTGGTTGCTGCGCGCCCATGCACGCGAGTGCTGCTGACGTGGATGGGTGCGATTGGCTGGCGAGGAGCGGGTGGAGGGCGGCGAGGGAAGACGGCAAGGGGGTGGAGGAGACGACAGGCTGGGAGAGCGACGAGGGCGAGTGGGAGTGAGAGAGCGAGTGAGAGTGGGATTGAGAGAGGGAGTGCGATAGAGAGTGAGAGTGCGAGGAGGAGGAGGTTGAGGAGAGCGAGTGCGGTTTGGAGAGCGAGAGGGAGCTCGGGGAAAGCGGGGAGTGGATTGCAGAATGTGAGGCGAGGGGCGCGTGCGCGGAGGCGGAGGGGGAAGCAGACGCGCGCATGTCCCAGAGCAGACGGTCGCGCGCACGCGGTGAAGACACATGACGCGCAGCTGCGGGGGGAATGGGGGGAATGGGAAAGGGGGAGGAGGGGAGGATGGGCGGAGTTGAAGGGTTGGCAAGACAGGGGGTTGGTAGGGTCACCGCGAAGCAGAGAGTATCGAATCGCACGTAATGCAACGCATGCCTGTAGGCGAGAGCTTGCGATTGGCGGAAGCCTGACTGGAGAGAGCACGCGCCGCATTCACGATTAAATTCCCCGGATAGAGGGGTTAGAACAAAAAACAGTGCTGGATGTGATAGTTGAGATGTAACGAGGCGGCAATGCCACCGAACGGACCTTCTCTTTCATGTGCGACCGCAGGGGTCCCTTGATCGGTGCTCGCTCCATTCCGCTGGGGATTTACTAGCTGGGCTCTCTACGGGAGTATGCAGTCGGTCTCGGATGGCTTAGCGGAGCACCCTCGCACCCACTGTGAAAGCCGTGTCGAAACGACAGCGAAGCAGGACGATGGAGGCAAACGAGCTCTCTGGACTACTACCAACCACTTCCGCCTTTCCGCCAAGATATTACATGAATGTAGCAACGAGTACCGCCTAGCTTCCTACCAATCGCTAGATCACTTCGGAACATGAATTTACTAGCTTCATATCGTTGAGTTTCAATGTTACTTCTCGTGAACTCAAACCTAGCTGCATGCCACAGCGTGACTCTCCTTGCGGAACATGAGAAGACAACCCTCTGTGCCTTCATGTATCGCAGCGGACTGACTTGATTTGATATGACGAGGCTTCATGCTGAAGCTAGATGCGAAATTCAAACTTCGAAACAGCTGACCTGTCCGCTGTAAGACTTTGCGTTGTTCACAGAATACAACCAGCTTGAATTCGGTCATAAAAATATAATGTTATGAAAAGTGCCTGCATAAGAGCAACTTGCCCATTTTTCTGTTTGCACTCAACCATGCTCTCCGCCATGGCTTCAGCTTTAACTTCGGCTCGCCAAATGTCTAAATATTTCCAGCCTGATGGCACATTTCTTAAGACCTTAGTGTTCAGCTCGACCGGCGCTTTAAGAGGATACATTTTTTGTGTTCATACTGAGAACATCAACGAATCTTTCCTGGTCGCAGGAACGATCAAGGTCCAAGCCTTGAAGTCAGGTTTCTTGGTTTTATCATGGCGTCCTGGTTTCTGGCTGCTTAACGCGGATTGGTATTTGTTGGAAACAGTAAATCCTAAAGCGCCTCTGTCGTGTCGAAACATCACACCAGAAGCGAGGCGAACCATATCGAGGCACACGCGAGTCAACCCTCGGAGGTTGAAAGAGGTTGCTGGAGGTTACGCGAAAGTCAAAGGTCAGCGACCTTTGACCTGACAAGTACAGCGCGACAGCAAGGACACACAACTGACTCGCTACAGAGCAGTTGCCCGAGTCGTCACTGTATCGAACCGCAACAGCAACAGTAAAGTAGTTATAACTGTATCCTTTTCATATTCCTTGTACTCATATATAATGCTTGTATCCCTTTGCTTTAATCAACTTACTTTGCCCTCACACACTAGCGCAAGGTGGTTCACAACTTCTTCATTAAACGCTTCCGCTATTACAATTGTTCTACCCCGAATTTACCCCTGCAAAAGATCCTAAGGGCTTTTTCTCAGCCCAACATGGTATGAGAGCTATCAGGGAAAATTCAACTACTACCAAGACATCAACAGACGACATGGCAACATACAAGGAAAGGAGTTCCTCCAATGGTTCTCCCGGGACTACTCCTACCCCACCTCCTGCCTCTGGCCTGCAGACAGAGGAAGGAACTGCAACGGGACCAGCAGCGCCTTCAGCCAGCCAGCCTGCCAGCTTCGACCAGAGCATGATGGAGAAATTTTTCTCCTTCATGTCGTTCTACGAGCAACACCAGCAGTCGGCACCTGCGCAGTCAAACAACAGCAACAACAACAACGTGACTCCAATGAGTCTTGACGGCTCATCATATGCACGCGGAAACTAGCAACAACCTACCTTTGCTCCGTATGAGCGCGGGTCCATCAGCTTCATGCCGCAGCCGCAAGCCCCACCTGGACAAGAAAAACCACTGGACGCACTGCAAGTTCAATCGCAATTCGCGCACGTCTTGAAGCTGCAGACGTCAAGACCTTTTGACGGAAAGGACTTCTTTACCTGGTCGTTCGAGTTCGAGCTCATGATGGAAGGCGCGCAGATACTTGGGTTCTTCGACGGGTCTGTGCCATACCCAACCAACGGCACACAGTATGAGAAGCAGCAGTACACATATCAGTCGATGATGGCGTACACGATCCTACTGAGAAACATCACCCCAAGCCAGCAGCAGAACATTCGGTCTTACCGGGGATACGGCAACTCTGCCGAGCTCGCTTACAGCCACCTGAAGAACCTGTATCAAGCAACAGACAGCGTCAACCAGAGTCGGTTAATGGCGCAATTGACAAACGTCGAAATGAAACCAGGCGAAAAGGGAATGGCGTATATCAGCCGCTGTCGCGAACTGCGCGACAAACTCCTTCGATGCGGAGGATCAATAGCCGAAGAAGCCTTCGTAACAGTCGTCATCGGTGGCCTCGGTCCGCAATGGCGTTCCACCCGAGCCATCCTTCGAGCTCACGGAAAAATCTCCGAAGCAGCGCTCTGTGCTGAAATTCACGCCGAGCAACAAGACATGGACCTGCAAGAAGAACGACACAAGAGAAAAACGTCAGTTCCGGAGTTCGCGTTCCACACTCAGCGACGCTACAACAACAACAACAACCGACAACAACAGAAGCACGTACCTCCGTTCTGCCATATCTGCAAGACGTCAGGGCACCCGCGCACACACTGCCCGAATCGACAACAGTCAACGCCACAACAGCGACAGCTTCGACCTTCAAGTAGCCAAGTTGCTTCAACGCAAGCGAATCCTACGACCCAGGTTCAAGCTTCAACAACATCAACGGGACAACCTGCACAAGGCGCAAGAAACATCGTCAGTTGTATGGCAAAACTGACCGACTCCTGCATCACCGAATCACCACCTCATTACTCACCGGAAGAACAGCTTGACAACAGCACGCCCCGCCGCGAGTCACTGCAGCCGAACCCGACATACGCCGCTATCGCCCAGAGTGAGCCATCCGGGAAGGACACATGGTTCTTGGACAGTTGCTGCGGACAACACATGTGCTCTTCAGGACGCTTCGTACAACGAGAGTACCAACTCCAACGAGAAGTAGTCATCACCGTCGCCAACAACCAGAATCTGCGCACACGACGACAAGGCGTGGTACAACTTCAGTCACGAGAAACAAGTGTCATTCTACAAATGACCAAGGCAGTTCTAATCGCAGAAGGCCTCGGCTATAACTTACTGAGCGTCAGTCAGTTGATGGCGAAAGGCATTCACCTCGAAGCAGACAGCACCACCCAGGAGTTCAAGCTGTACCACGGAAAGGGCGGCCTCTACATCGGAAAGGCGATCCTCAAGAATAACGTCTTCGTTCTTGATTTCGTACCAGACCTTAACACCGCTGACAGCGACGGCATCGTCAGTTTTGCTCCTTGGACACATCCTCCAGATCTTGACCCAGACTTCAGTCCCGGCGGCTTCTGGCACTCACACACCATTCCTGAAACAGAGAGAACAAGGGCGTTAGCAACAATTCAACAAACATCGGCAGCAGCAGAGACAACATCGGCAGCAGCAGAGACAACATCGGCAGCAGCAGAGACAACATCGGCAGCAGCAGAGACAACATCGGCAGCAGCAGAGACAACATCGGCAGCAGCAGAGACAGCAACAACAGCAGCAGCGGCAACATCGACACCAATCGCCGGTCCCTCAACGGCACCAATCTTCATCGACGGTTCGCCTCCGACACCCGCACAGCAGTTAACCCCGGCACCACGAGAAGTCCACCGAAGCGCTAACATCACCGCCGGCTTCTACTTAAACTCAGACATGTACAGACGCTCACCCGGGCACCGCGCCAGCGAAGACATCTGGCACGCACGGATGGGACACCCAAGCAACACAACGTTAAACAACACAATAAGAGCAGGAGTGCTCGACAAAGACTCCCTACTACTGCACGACGGAAGAGAACTTCAACGAGTCAGAGGAACATGCTTCACCTGTCCTGAAGCCGACTTACCGCATCAGCCGTTCGTACCTCATCACAACCCAAGCGCACCTGCATACACACCACTTGAGAAGGTATACAGCGACATCCTGTATAATCGCGCAACAGGGCAAGGAGCCTTCAATTACACCATCACCTTCATCGACGCCGCCACTCGATATGTTTGGCACCTCAACCTTCCAAGCCGCGATATGGCTTTCGAAGCCTTTGTCGCCTGGCTACCAGTTGCGGAACGAGAATCGGGAGCTAAGCTGAAAAGCTTTCAATCAGACGGGGGAGGAGAATACACCTCACAAAGGTTCAAGCAATACTTGGCGGAAAGAGGAATCAAGAAACTCATCTCCCTCCCCTACGCCCATCAACAGCAGGGTGTAGCAGAAAGGATGAACAGGACCCTGCAGAACACCATGCGCAAACTGCTACGTGGCATGCGGCTACCCAACCACCAGTGGCCAGAGGCGATGGACCACGCTGTCATGCTGCACAACTTGCTATCCTCGTCGTCACTCCCGAACAACGCATCACCGCACCTGCTGTGGACAGGAAAACTGGGCAGCACAAAAATGTTACGAGTTTTTGGGTGCATGGTACAGTACCGACCCCCAGCTGCACGAGCCAGACGTTTCTCCCAACGAGCACAATGGGGACTACACCTGGGCATCGAAAAGAACTACAACGCATGGAAGATTTTCGACGTCCACTCAAAAGAAACAGTACCAGCACGCGATGTCATCTTCTACGAGCGACTCACCCTCGACTCCTACCTTGCCAACTTGGCAGAACAGCGAGACCTCACCAGTGGATTCCGTGGAGACAGAGCCTTCGCCTCGGCAGCCGACGAAGCTGACCTGGACGAACAGAACGTGGACGGAGCTTCGGAAGAAGCCGGACCTCTCCCGTACTGCTCCGTCGATATCCCAATGGATGACGAAAATCCTCGCGAAAGCATCAACAGGCTCTGGGGGGGGAGCACAGGGAAAAATGGCGCGAAGCCATGGACAGGGAGCTGAAAGCATTAGAAGAGCGCAACACGTGGAAAGTCGTTCCCATCAGTGTGGCAAGAAACAAGACCATTCTCACCGGGAAATGGGTCTTCCGCGTAAAGACGAAAGCTGACGGCACCATCGACAAGTTCAAAGCACGATGGGTCGTGCGCGGCTTCGACCAAGAACAAGGACGGGACTTCACCGAGACCTTCGCACCGGTCAGCCGACACACCTCACTTCGAAT